ACACAGCGCCAATAAATCTCACAATCAACTAAGGTCAAAAGGTCAACAAAGGATACAATAAGTAGCTGCATGAGATAGCATAAATACCCACTTATGCAACGAGGAATTTCTCCTTGTTGCCCTCCTGTGCTACATTAGATAATCAGTTATTACAGAGCCTTCTGATCTAAACTCTTGCTGAAGCTTTAATATGCTTTTCGTTCTAAGATATAGAAGGTTGATGGTGTTTCAAACCCCCTAATGGGCTTGCACTTGCAGGACATAATATGTCAAGAGGGACAAAAATACAAATTAAAATGATAAGCTCGAAATTGTTTTATTTTCCAACTGCGACTTATATTGAAGAAAGCTTGTTATTCTTCTTTTCTTTGTAACACATGCAAGCGCGTGCATACACATGTACACACACATCTATATATATATATATATATATATATATATATATATATATATAGAGAGAGAGAGAGAGAGGGAGAGAGAGAGAGAGAGCATTGAACAAAGCTTCTAACACATACTAATGATATTCCCCATTCACTCCAGAAAGTTATTGCACGTGGAGCAAGGCAATCAGAATTCATACTGTGGAAAATTAATAAGCAGTCTCTTTGGGAACATGTTCTTGATGAAATGTACCATGCTGCCCTTAATTTGAGATTGAGAATAACACACGAGCAAGAACAGGAAAAAGAGGTTTGTTTACAGAGCTCACCTATCAATGTTCTTCTTCTGTCTATTGCACGTTATTTTGTTATTTTTCGTTTATCTTCTATTTTAATGAACTCTGCAAGTGTAGGTTGGCAGATAATGTCTTTATTAATGAAACAAATAATTAGTTATTTTATGATCGTCGAACAATATGCATTTTTTACCGAGGACATGACCCTTGATAGGAAGGTGTGGAGGTCGAGGATTAGGATAGAAGGTTAGGTAGCCGAAGGTTTGCCTTGTTCATACCAGTAGTTTTAGTGCACTGCCTTGTATTGTCCTATTCTTATATTTCTGTTATTACTTATTGTTTCTTTTGCTTATTGGTTTTCTTATTGGTTTGTTGGTGTTGCTGCTTGTTGTTACACCTTCCTTTTTATCCTTCCTAAGCCTTTTTACCTGTGGTCCGGCCCTTCCCCGGACCCGCGCATAGCGGGAGCTTAATGCACCGGGCAGCCCTTTTTTCTTTCCTGAGTCGAGGGTTTATCGGAAACAGCTTTTCTACCTTCTCAAGGTAGAGGTAAGGTCTGCATACACACTACTCTTCCCAGTGGGATTACACTTGGTTTGTTGTTGTTGTTGAACAGTATGCATTTGGGACCATCCTTCATTTTAGGTTCTGTATCTTCTAATGAAAGATGATTGACTGACAACGAAGTTCTTCTTTTGATTGTCTAAGACAGATGTATCAATTGGCTAAGAATTAGTCTGTCTAGAGACTGACACAAACCAAAAAGGAGCAAACAGTCTTCTAATTCTACTTTGAGACACGAACCATTTACGTTGAATGCAACTTGAATGTGAATTAGTTATCTATTCTGCGACTTTAAACATAGTTGTGGTTCTTCCACTTTTTTTCGGTTGCTGGGCAGATTAAGTTTTCAAACACAATATCAAGAATGATATACTGGAAAAGAACTTGTCATTTCCTGTTTCCGTCAATCATGATGGAAGATTAACAAAGAAAGGAATAAGAAAGGAAATAATAAGCGATCCATTTGATTTGTGTTTGAAATCTGGTAGATGGGGCAAATTATTGCAGACATGGGAAATCATTAGGCTAAAGTAATAATTCAAATATAGTGGGGTAGTCTGATAGTGAAATGATAGCATTCGGTCATGTAAACATGCAGTTCAAGAAAGAATACAAGTATCTAGGGAAATTTTAAGCTACATATTATTTGAAGAGGCTGTAGAAAGTTGACGTAACGGGGAGAGGATTAGACCATTTTAGTTTTTGCTTTCCCTCAAGCGGATGGAGTGATCTATTGCGCCGCATAACTGTGGAAGACTGGGCCTTAAATACAAATAATCTGTTGCTTTGATTTCACAGAATGTGAGAATGTCATACGGTTTCGACTTCAGAGTTACAATTGGGTGTTCCTACCCCTGAGGGGAGAGTTGAGTGAATTAGGTTTAGGCCAACCTCAGCTTCACATTGCCTTGGTCTCTTGTTGAGGTCAAGTTGCAAAACTTTTTTCTTTTTTGTTTGTTCCTATGTCTTGCCATTAACTTCATTGTCATGACCACCACTTTGCTTGCTACATCTATGGTTTGGACCATAGTTAGGAAAGATTCTTGAAGGAATTGTGCAAGTTCTTTTCCCCTTTATTTTGCTTGTCTGAAGTAGAAATCCACGAAAAAATTAATGCTAAAAGGAATTTTCGGCTAAAATCTCTGTTCTTGCATAACTGGAAATCTCCTTCATATCTGAAAAAGCTCTCTTGCATTTACCTTCCCCTTCATTGACTACTATCGGATTCACATGCTCTAATATCTTAACTGTTGTCATGTGTGCCAGATTCTTCAGATGCCCAGAGAGAAGCTGGTAAAGGAACTGCACAGTGAACTGCACAACAGATACAATCGCCTAAGAAAAGTCCGGATTACTTTAGAATCTTCCCTAATGAATCTTGACGATGCTCTCATGCTCTTCCGTGACTTTTAAATCGAGTATTTATATCTTATATCCCACCTTTCTTCCCTGACCTCCCCCTTTTTTTTCTTTTTATTAGATTATATTTTGTGCCTTTAGATTTATATATGGTGCCCTTAGGAACTTGCTGTTCTCATTTCATTTTGTATACATTTCTGGATTGGATTTGACTGACACCAATACGAGTATACGGCATGTCATCATGAAGTGTATTAATCCATGCAGGCTATATTCCTGGTTCTTAGCTGATTTCTTGAACCATGAGGGGACTAATTAGGAAACCTGGTGCTGTCAATTTCTGTTTGGCTTTGACTATTCATTATAATGAAAAATCAAAATTCATAAGCAGGAGACAATGTCAGACTAACTACCAGCAATAAAAAGAATAACATGTTCATTTACTGCATTTTACTTTTAGAGGAATCAATTTCAAACATCTGCTTTATATTGTCCAGTTAGTTGAGTCCCCCTGATTTTCCAGGTTTCCAAATACCTTTTGAAATTATGTGATTGAATAGCAATGCTGAATTTTCGTACAAGACTATCAAGTTATGACTTATGACAACTAGAATCATAGGCGCATGCACAATCAGTTTCCTTGCTCCTTTTTATACCAAGACAATTTAAGTTTGCAGGTCAGTGTACGCCTCGAAATCACAAAATATTTCTTCATACTTGTTAGGTTGTTAGTTGCCACTAGGGGTGGCAAATGGGCGGGTTGGGTCAGATATGGGTGGATTGAAAACGGGTAATGTAAAAAATGGATAAATTATCCGACCTAGCCCATATTTAATACGGACAAAATATGGGTTAAACGGCAGAGAATATGGATATCCATGGCTTCTTGAATATGATCACTTTTAGGAGAATTTTTAGTCTCTCAAACTTGAGTAACCTCCGGTTTGAGTTTTTGTTAAACCCATTGGTTATTTATTTTTTAAATGAATAATATGAATCTTATCCATATTTGACCAATTTTTAAAAGGTTCATTATCCAATTTATTTTTTAATCTATTTTGCCACAACTTGTTGCCACAGGTTATGTACATAAAAGATTTGCTACCTATCAGATAAGAGTTACATTGATCTTGTGAATGTTAGGACTCAGGAACAATAACAGACCTTTTGCCAACATAAACTAATTAAGTATAAGCTTAAGTTGTAAGAAGAATAATATGATTTGCGAAACTCTTGCATGGATTGAATGCAATGGAAGACTGTTGAAGTAGCTGGACGGGTATGTAAATTACCCTGCCAATGCTTAATGGAATTCGCATTGCCAATTCAAACAAAGTATATATGATATGAGTTTGTCGGTTGGATCTCTTGATGAAATTTTCATGAAACTGTCTTTCCTCTTCTTCTTCTTTGTGCAGGTTTTAGATTTTACTTTGTTTTCAAGTTGACGAGAAACTTGTTCAGAGTAAGAATCTCACCAAATGGAGGATCAACTTCGACGTCTTAAGTTAATAATGATATTTTTGAAAATAAAACAAATCTAAACAAAGAAAAGACTTAGAAGTATAATTTAAGTATGCACTGCTTGTCCTTGCGGTCTCCTTGCTGCCCTTTGCCATTTATTTACCCTATGTTCCCTTGTTATCCTTGTCTGCCCGAGAATACTGGCGTTTTTTGTGTTTTCGTAGCTATGAATTCATTGGTTTTGGTTGGTTATCTCTGACAGTCCACAAAAAATTATACATGGAACAAACGCAAAGATGTCTAAAAAAACATTTCCTCGATACCTATTGGGTCCCTATGTAATCAAACTGTCCATGTTAAAGCATATGTTTCAACCGCAAGTTCCACTAAATGACATTGAATAGCATTTCAGCAACGTTTTAAGTTAATAATGGTACTAATACTCTAGCTAAGCTGAAGTTTTTACCAAGACCAAACTAACAAGTATTTGAAGTTGAAGTGAAAAAAAACGTTGCCGTTGCATGCACCTTTTTCAAATATGAACCTTGAAATAATATAGGTTAAATTTGCAGCCTAGACTAGGTAGCTTCAAAAGATGCTTCACATCTGCACCACATAAATAATTGCATTCAATGTATCTGACGCTGCTTAACAACTTTTAAACCAAAACACTGCAAAAGGCTATTCGACTGTTCCCCTTCCAAGTATTGGAATATGGCCTACACTTTTATCCCTATTGTATATCATGGTTATAAAGTCCCAGACCAACCTAATAATATTGTGAATAACAGGGGAGCTGAATGCAAAACAATCTATTGTTTAGTCATGCACAAAATGTTTAAAAATTTTCATAGGCGCCAAAGGGTGACAAAAACTGAATTAAGGGAAGCGACTGAATCAGCCATACACGTCCAAATTCATTTCAGTAGAACTATGGTAACACCAAGCAAAAGCAGATAAATTAACACTAGTATTACCAGAAAATACATGCACTTGGCAAAAATGTCTAAAATATCACTAATTTTAAAATCTGCATGGAACATAAATCGGGAGCTTTTAATCACAAGTCTTCTTTCTTGAAAACAAAAATACATTGCAAACATAAAAGCTAGTGAATTAATTAATTGGGTTCTTCAATCATCAACTGAGGATACAGGTTTCATTTCTTCTTTTCTCCGCCTCCAGTAGCCCTGTAAAAGTCCAAAAGAAAAAGAAATGAAACATGAGGCCACCGGCAAAAGATTAATACTAGTAAATACTAACTTCCTCTCTCTACAGAATGGTAAGAGAACAAGACATTACCTCATCTTACGGAGAACACTAGACATCTCTTCTCTCTTCTTCTTTGCCCTCTTGTGAGTGCCCAACTTCCTCTTGGCTACCTTCAAGGCACGCTTGTCCTTTCCAACTTTAAGAAGCTCGGTAATCCTTTTCTCGTACGGAGCAAATCCAGCGACTTCTCTGATAAGGCTCCTCACAAAGTGGACTCTTTTGCTTGTTTTCTAAAAACAAATAAAATGGAAAGAAGATTATGATGTGCTCAAAATATGCAAGTGGAACATGTAAAATTGGGAGAGAAAAAAAGCATAGCACGCATTGATCCAGATTCCAGCTAGAAATTATTTGATCATGTTTCTTTGTAAAAGACAGTACAGAGAGGGCACACTTCAACAAGACAGCATACAGTCTAAGGAGTATATGAGCGACTATTCACTCCCTTTATTCTCAAAGAGATATATCTTTGTCCTGACACAACATCAGACCCATTCTAGCACAAGATATACTTGCATATTCTATAATGTCCAAAGTGTACTCTTCCTACACCAACAAAATTTCAACTTCCAACTCCAATTAATTGCAAATTGGTATCCAAAATCTAAAGCTTCAACATTTTCTTCCAAGACTACCAAATCAAACAATATTTCAGCTCCCAAATTCAATAAACTGTAAATTGGTATCCAAAATCAAAAGTTTTTTCTTTAAGACTAAGAAAATCATGTGTATCTGCCAGTCTAAGTTCTCAAGAGTTAACCAAGTATTTACAATTTTAAACCCTGTGCTATAAAAGCCAGAGTTGTGTGCAATGAAACCCAATATGCCAGTCTAAGTTCTCAAAAGTTAACCAAGTATTTACAATTTTAAACCCTGTGCTATAAAAGCCAGAGTTGTGTGCAATGAAGCCCAATATGCCAGTCTAAGTTCTCAAAAGTTAACCAAGTATTTACAATTTTAAACCCTGTGCTATAAAAGCCAGAGTTGTGTGCAATGAAGCCCAATATGCCAGTCTAAGTTCTCAAAAGTTAACCAAGTATTTACAATTTTAAACCCTGTGCTATAAAAGCCAGAGTTGTGTGCAATGAAGCCCAATATGCCATAGAGAACTACACAAAAAGTTCCCTCTCGCACCCCCACACATAATAGCCACAGAAACACCTATCAAAGACATCTTGTCAACACTCTCTGCTGTTTAACAATTTCTACGACTTATAGAGTTCAGACCAACTAATTTCCTGACCTTTGCTTATATATGCTCCACGGACAAGGTAGAAGTTTAAAAAATATGCAGATAAATTCAAATCCAAACAACAAAAGCCCGAGCTATCACCATTAGAAAACAAAAGAGACGTGCAAAATAAAGAATTCAAAAACTCACCCCTTTTCTGTCAGAAGGACGTGGAGCTAATTCCTTCTTGGTCACAACATGGCCTTTGTTTAGCCCAACAGATAGCCCTGTATTCGGCTGCTTCGGAGCCATCACCTGTTTAAACCAACTTTCAACCCAATCACAAAATTGCATTGCCAACATTTTCTAAGTAAATGATACTCCCTTAAAAGATATCATACTAGTATTTTCTCTCTCCTAAAAAGAAAGGCATCTAAAAATCACAACTTCTGGAACTAAAAATATTAAGAAGCACAGAATACATTAAAAAAAATACTATGAATCACAATTCTCATATTAAAAGAATATTTAGAAATTGTTATAGGGGAGATTTAATGAAAAAATAGTTTGACTCTACGAATTAGCAACAGTTACACATAAAATGGCAAAGAGGTAAAAATTTTGTTCACTTTTCTGGATAGTATCATCATAAACACGCCATTTTCCATCACAGCATAAAATACTGAGGATTTATAAAACATTTAAATAAATAAAAAAAATTACAATGTCTATAGCGCGATACCAAATTAGTATACAAAATGAAAGAGGATCTGAAACAGCAACTGGAAGAAAGTGTGTGAGTAAATCATACCTCTTCAATTCGTTCGATATGGAAGAAACGGTGAGGAACTAGGGTTGTGAAAAGAGGAGCTAGGGTTTTGGGACAGTGCTGCCTTTTATAGTGGTGATGACAGTGATAATGCGAGCATTTTGAGGGTAAAGTGGTAAATTAGTGTTTGAAGGTTTGAGCTCTGCACAAGTGGAAAAGTTTGAGGAGAAAGCCACTTTTATGGATGTATTTGAAAAATAGACAGTATTTGTAATGTATTTATTTTTATTTATAAAATAGAAAGAAATATGCGTTTTTTCTACTTCTTCTTTGCATACATAAGAATGAAAGTGAATACACAAATAATACTTCAATCTCAAACTTAACTTCTCAACGCAACAATAATTTCAATTCAATCCTCCAACAACTAACTAGCATTAGTTATAGCCACTTATCATTGTCAACCGTTGTGGAAAGACCGTAGGAATACTATAATTGTTGTAGAGAAGCACAAAACTGAAGGTGAATATTGTATGCATTTTTGTTATCTCTTCAACTTAGCTTACATAAATAATAATAATTGTGAGCAATTAAATCCCGTGTGAAGTTTCCAAACATTTTCGTTAAAATTTAATCCCTAAATAAGTATTTTAACTTCTGTGGCAGTTCAATCAAGAGTAGTTGAAACTTCAGAACAGTTCAATCAAAAGCATTTGAAACTTATTTTTTTGGTGAAAAGAAAAAAAATCTTATTAATCATTAACCTATTAAAACTGTCAATTATAAAGCAAGAGTTCCCTACCATTTACAAAACTTTAACTGCATAGCCTTGCTTGGATCATCTATACTCTGCTCTATTCTACCTTCTCTATTCTATTTATACAAATTTTCTATCCAAGCCAGTTGTCTTTTGCTTTGTTTCCCTCTACTCGGTGTCTTGTATCTACATTCATCTTTGATATTCCTGCATATAACTTGCTCTCTTGTCACCAGATGATTCCACACAGCATCGTACTTGTTCTTCCATATTGCATATACCTGAGCAGCAAATATTGATAGTGCAAGTGTCCTGCATTGTTTCCCTTTTATGGATCTGTTAAGCTTCCTCCATATTGCTACAATAGCTTTCCCATTTTCTTGTATCCTCAACCAACTCAGTAGCTCCTGTGCACATCTCTTAGACCAATTACATTCAAAATATAGATGATCACTTGTTTCTTCTTCTTCTCCACATACTTTGCATATAGTTCATATATTGATCCCAATCTATTTCATTTTGTCCAGTGTCATCAGTCTTCTGTGAGCTACCAACCAGCTAATATAGCTATGTTTTGGTGTGTTTCCTGAGTTCCACACCCATCTCCAGTCCTGCCAATGGTTGTCATCCCCCATTCTCCATTTATATCCACTAGCCACTGTGTACACACCTCCTGCTTTGAAATTGTCCCTAACATTACATAGCTTTTTTCAATACCAGCTACAGTCTTGAGGGTGTTTATATTACCACCCATATACCTCTTTTATATATATGTGATTGACCCATCTTACCCATAAGTTGTCTATATGCCACACATACTTGTTTATTGCAGCCTCATTCCATACCACACGGTCATTAATGCCCAATCCTCCTCCTCTTTTTGCCTTGCATATTGTAGTCCATGCTATCAATGACACTCTTGTAGTATGAATTTTTTCGTCCCAGAAATAATTTTTATAAATCCCAGTGATAGTGTTTAAAACCTTCCTTGGCAATATGAATATTGAAGCCCAGTAAACATGGAGGTGCATGAGAAATAATTTAATTAGTTGTGCTCTTCCTGCATAGGATAAATTCCTACTCCCTCATATTTTGATCCTGCTTGATATTTTCTCCACTAGCATTTCACAGTCCATGCTTGTCAGCCTTTTAGGTGATATAGGCACACTTAAGTATTTAAAAGGAAGCTTCCCTTCTTTGTAGCCTGCTAATTAACATATATCAGTTAGTTGTTGCTTATTCATGTTTGCACTGAAGATGTTGGATTTGGGCACTATTTGTTGTCAAACCTGATGCTTGGAAAAATGTTGCAAGGCCTCTAATGAGGAGCTTGACTGCCTGTGGATCACCTTTACAAAACGACAATACATCATCTGCGAAACATAGATGATTTAGGCCTAAACTTTTGCATTTAGGATGATATGCAAACCCCTCTTGCTGCCCCACCATATCCATTATCCTTGAGAGATACTCCATACAGATTACAAAAATCAAGGGTGATATGGGATGCCCTTGTCTCAATCCTCTTTTTCCTGCAATGTCACCATACAGGTCACCATTAATTGCTAAGGACTAATTGGTAGTAGTCATGCATTCCATTATCTATTGGATGAATGTTGTATGATAGTTCAGTGCCATCATCATCTCTTTTACAAACTCTTATTCTACACTGTCATAAGCTTTCTTCAGATCAACTTTTATTACACAACTTCGTGTTGTGACCTTCCTGTTATATAGTCTGACTACGTCCTGACAGATCAAAATGTTTTGCCAATTGATCTTCCTTGAACAAATGCACTCTGGCTAGTAGATATTATAATTGGCAAGCTCTCTCTAAGTCTGTTACATATAACTTTGGATATCACCTTGTGTATTGTACTACAACAGGCTATTGGTCTGTAGTCACCCACTAATTCAGCATGTGCCCCTTTTGGAATCAAAGTTATACTGTTTTATTTAAAGCTCTTAATAATTTTCCTGTGTTAAAAAAATTCAGTCACACAGTCCACTACATCATCCCCTATTATGCTCCGTGCATCTTTGAAAAATTGGCTTCCATATCCATCATTCCCTAGTGATTCTTCTCCTGGTATGCTTCATAAGGCTTTTTAATCTCCTTCCCTATTATAGTTTCCACCATCTTCTGCTTTTGAATATCTGTGTCAATTGTTCCCTTCCTGATTAGAGCACTACAGACATATGATCTCTCATTGTTTGTTGTCCCAAGTAATTTTGTGTAGTACTCTATAAAGGCTTTGGCAATAGTATCTGGTTGTTCATGTTCAATGCCATCATCATCTTTAATCGAATAGATTATGTTAGCATTCCTCCTTGTATTCATGTACCTATGAAATAGCTTGGTGTTTTGGTCCCCATATTGCAGCCATGTTATGACAAGGTGAGTTGCTATGATGGTAAGCACCCTCCACTTCCAACCAAGAGGTTGTGAGTTCGAGTCACCCCAAGAGCAAGGTGGGGAGTTCTTGGAGGGAAGGATGCCGAGGGTCATTTGGAAAACAGCCTCTCTACCCCAGGGTAGGGGTAACGTCTGCGTACACACTACCCTCCACAGACCCCACTAGTGGGATTATACTGGGTTGTTATTGTTGTTGTTGTATTGCAGCCATGTTATCTTGCTTTTCTGCCTTAAATATTGTTCCTTTGCTTGTTGCCACTGCCTGCATTCTTGAGCCAGTGCTTGCTACTCTTCTCTTATCTTAGGCTGTGAGGATTCTGCTGTATTTTCTCCTGGCATTTCTTTAGTTCCTTCATGCTTTGGTCAGCTTTGACTTCCACCTCTACAAATGTTTCTTTATTCAGGCTCTTAAGTACCTTTTTCAATCTGTTCAATTTCCCTACCATTTGGTGCACTTTGGTTCCCTTTATATGATGTTCCCAACTACCTTTCACCTTTGTTTTAAACTCGCTAGCCATGCTTCACATATTAAAGTATCTAAATATTTTTTTGTTGCCCCTGACTTGTCAATTCCCATCTCACCAGTGCTGGACAATGATCATACAAACCTTCACTCTGAAAGCGCACTTCTGAATCTGGTAGTGTAGTCGTCCAATCATTATTAATTAACACCATATCAATCTTGCTCATCACCTTGGCTTCTCCATCCTGTTTATTATTCCAGGTATCGAAAGAGCCTGGTGATTTCATCTCCTGAAGATCACATTTATGTACACACTCCTTAAATTCTTTAACATAGGTGACTTGCCTTCCCATTCTTTCATTTGCTTGCATTACATTATTGAAATCACCCATTATAGCCCAAGCATTTGAAACTTCAAAAATACTTCAATCATGTGTAACTGAAACTTCGAGAAAAACTTTATGACATCGTCTCGAAGTTTGAACTACACAGTTCAATTTAACTGTATCTTTGTATATGTGTATATTTTATCTGTTCTATATAGATTTTGTCTATCTTTTTCTTGTGTGCTATCATTCTCCTACTTTTATTCAACCATCTTAATAGGTTGTTTACTATCAAACTCCAAACTTGAGAACATTCTATGCCATGAGCTAGTCTCAAGCAGTGGCGGAGCCAGAATCTCCGCGAAGGGGGTTCAAGAAAAAAAAATCGTAGCTAGCGGGAATTAAACCTATGACCTTTCAAAGATTTTGAACCCCCTTGACCACTAAGCTACACTTTTGGGTTGTATCAAGGGGGTTCAAAACTTAATATATAGAGGTAAAAAATAGATTTTGCCGTAATTTTTCGGCGAAGAGGGTTCGGTTGAACCCCTTCCGCCCCCTAAATCCGCCTCTGGTCTCAAGGACTAGCGATAACATCTACTCAACCCTTTGTTCTTAGCTTTCTTTGGAGTTCAAATTCATAAATGCAATTCATATGGTAAAATCAATTATGGTAAATATGTTGTTTTTCCTTCGAGGAATAGAAAAATTAAATATGATAATAAAATAAGGACAAACACTTAACAAATCTCTCCATTGACTTGAATTTTCTAATAAAATAAACTTGATCCACCTTATTCACATAACTTTCAATATGTAGCATTTTCAAATAAAAATAAATATTAAATCCAATTCCTAATAGAAAGAAAAACCAAAAGAGAATAGGATTAGGTCATTGGGCCTTTGGTTAGACAACATGCCAACAACATGTTGGTGTTACTCGTCTAATTAGGTGGATAACATGAGGTTGTCACTACTTAGAAAAGTAACTGATCAATTCAATTGTTAGTTATGTTTTAAATGCTTTACAAATGCTAAATACATTTCAAACAACAATCCTAAATGTGGCTACTAAGTGAACCCCTACATAGTGCATTCCTACATTTCGATACGACCTATGCACTTCACTTACAATAAAAAGAAGCCCAATAAGTGATTTGTTACTGTCCATAAGTCACAGTTAGAAAAGTGCTTTTCTAT